GGGGGCTGTTCGAGAGCCGTTCCACTCTAGAGCATATCACAGGTGCGTTCAGTTAAGTGACCGGTAACGTGATCAAACATGCAGTTACAATTGCACACAAGAAGTGCCATAGATAGATAAACCGTTTACGGTGGCTAAAAACAACTGCACAGGCAGCAGCTCCGTTTCATCTCAGGATCAACATTCATATCCTATAGTCTCTCCTCACTGCAGATGATCCGTCAGTCTCGGAGGACCCGCTCTACTGGGGCTTGTCTGTCTTGTGTGCGGTGAGAAAGGCCATGCCGTGGGTTCTGAAGTGCGTGTTGAGGTCTGTGGCCTTGTCGAAATGCCGGCCACACACCTTGCAGCTCAGAGTCCCCTCTCCGTCCTCACCCAGCGCCTGAGGGGAGGCAGCGGGTGAGCCGTGTGGAGAGCCGTGAGCGCGTGGAGTGCTGCGGTCTGCCTCACTATGGGTGTCCCGCACACGGTGAGTGATAAAACGGTGCCTGCCGAGAGAGCCGGCTGACGCAAAGCAGACGCCGCACTGCAAGCACTGGAAGGAGGCGGTGTCAGCGCGATGCTGGGGAATGTGTCGCTGAAACTCCACCCCATCCTCAGTGGAGAAACCACAGGGGACACAGCGGAAAACACTGTCCTCCTCCTCTATCTCGTTGGATGTCAGTGATCTTGATGCCATGGATGCCCTGGTTCTCTTTGCGGGACCACCGCCGTCCTCACCGTCCTCTTTGGTGTTTTCCTCCTCATCTCCTGCCCTGCCGCCAGGAGGTCCACCCTCACTGTCTTGTTCTGAGGAGCTGCCCGGACCTTCTCCCCCTGTGGCTGCACGCTTCCTCGTCATAGGGGGACCCTAAGGACACAAGAAGGGAGGAGAAGAAGAAATAAAATCCATCAAATACCCCACTAGTTCTGAATACTTTTGTGTCTTAAAAAAGGTGGTTGCTAACAAGTGGCTAAATGAGACTACAGAGGCTGTCTGGGCTATTAAATGTCACCGACATCACTTGACTGTGCTTCAAAAATAAAAGTGGTGTTCACTTATCTCGATAAACAAAATGTGTAAGTGCCATAAACTGTTTGCCACAGAGCTTATTTGCTGCAATAAACCAAAAGCCTAAGAAAAAATCCAATTGGCATTTTGTCAATAAAACCGGGGTGATGTTAACTTTTGGTCTGGCCTACGTCATCCTGCAGCACTCTACACTCACCAGCCACTTTATTTGGTACAATTGTATGCACTTCAATGCAACACTTCTGCCTTAATGTGTTTATGAAGCTCAAAATGTCAAATGTATAAATTCAATAATATGGTTATTATTGAGGTCATAGTTAAAAGTGGTTTTGTACTGGTCTGTATTATATTTAGAGGTGTGTATATTTTTGTCCTTCCAGGCTACAGACATGAGGGTCAGAATATTAGGAACACCTAAATATAATGTGGTCCAGTAAAACACTACTTTTAACTATGACCTCAATAATAAACATATAAATGAATTTACACTTATGACAATTTCACCAAAAAACTGAAACATGGAACTTCATAAGCACAGATGTGAAGGCAGAGGTGTTGCACAGTCAGAGGTGTACCTAATAAAGTGGCCGGTGAGTGTACATACAACTTGCAATTAAAATTGTCAAAGTTCTGTTTCTATGGGTAGAGTACAAAACAGACTTTAGGTAAACTTAGTTTAGTCACATTTTTACTATACACCCAAAACCTGCTTATAATTGCTATGTAGTAAGGAAACATGACGCAGCTTCAGACTAAATTCAGACAGGAGCCTATTTCTGTCCAGAGCCAGAGGGAACTATACTACACACTGTCCTGACTTACCTGTCCATCCGTGGTTTTGTGATGAAGCCGAATATGCTTGTCCAGTAAGAACCGACTGCCAAAAGTGCGTTTACCTTCTGTGCAATATCTGAAAAATATTTACAGTGTTCCATTACATCATCCAGCACTGAGAGTACCTGAATGTAAAAATGCTAGGTCTCTTTGTAAATGAACTCACACCTAGTTAGGTCTTTCTGTGCTGCAATTTCGTTCCTTGCCAACCAACATATACAAGTTACCAATACGTCTGCTTTTATTGGTCAGTCTCTACTCATTAACATGCCTCATCAATTTGAAATGAGAAAGTTATGGGCCATTTTGTGTCTAACAAACTGCAAAACTTATTTGACTTGATTGGAAGCCTTAAGTGACTCACTGGCAATGGAAGACTCTTTTGTTGCCCTCGTGAATGACGCGCTCGTGACGTCTCAGGCTGGAAGATGTGCTGAACGTGCCTCCGCAAATACGGCAAGGGAACTTTGGATTTGGAAACAAACAGAGGCAGTCAGAGATCAGTTAAAAAGGACATTAAATCACTCACAGGAAATTAACAACAGCCTCCCTCCACCTACGGGTGGTTCTTGTTCTAAGTTACCAACACTGGAGTAGTCCCCCCCCCAGCAAAATATAAGAAGCTGGTTAAAGAGCCCAAAGATAGTACTGTCCCACCTTGGCGTGCTCCAGCTTCACATGACTCAGATAGTCTTCGTTGTCAGTGAAGGTAGTCTGACACTGGGGGCAGGTCCACTCAGTCTGCGTGCTGGGATGAGTGCTGCCCCCAGTGATGGCTGAGTGACTCCCAGGAGCCTCGTAGTCCTCATCCCCATTGTCATCATCCTCTTCCTCCTCCTCCTCTTCCTCCTCCTGTTCCCGCCCCCAGTCCTCTCCGTCAGAGTTGTCAGGCTTTCCAGAGGACTTTGATTTGAGCCCAGAGGGACTAGATGTGTTGGCCGGGGCTGAGGCGGGATTAGAGACATCTGACTGAGATTCTTGTTTGGCTGCCGGGCCTCTGTGAGCGGTCTGAGAGGGGGGACAGGAGAGTGAGAGACACCAGAGAGGCACACGGAGCATTTAAGATGAATTCATTTACCTTAGGAAATGCCAGTTACTCAACTGGCCCACAAAACTTCACTCCCAGTACTAAAATAACTACTGTGCTTGGTATAGAACTTAGGACAAGGTCACTGGAAAGGAACCTCACTAAGGCCGATCCAAGAATTGCTGTATGCCTTTATTGACACCACATTTATTGTAGAAGGCAACAAATGGGTAACACAAAGGCAAAAGTGTTTATCATGCTGTATCTCATTTTGATAAGTATATCACCTGAATATTCCCTCATGAGAAAACACACCTTAATATGCTCCATCATGGAGCCTTTCTGCGCGTAGAGCTTAGTGCAGTCAGGACACTTGAACACATGCACCTTTTGCTTGGCTAAATGAGTGTCAAAGTGCATGTACAGCAAGTGTTTCTGGGTAAACACCGTATCACACATCACACACTTGTAGATCATTCTGCAAAAAGAGAAAAATAGAATCATTTGTTTTTTTTCTCATCACTTTTCAAACATTGTGTTTAAAATTATATTTTGGCGGAAGCAGCACACATACTTGGCCTGTCCTCCAGTGAGCATCGGGTGCTGGGTGCTGATGTGACTCTGGGCGCTGGGGGAAGACTTGAAGGCCATAGGGCAGCTGGGGCACTTGTGGAAGACCTCGCAGTGAGCCGTCTGAATGTGGGACTTGATGGAATTCAACCCTCCGAAAACAACCTGGCAGCTCGAGCACCTTAACAAAGCAAAATCGACACCTCAGAGCACCTTTATGCAAACTACATTCTTGACTTTAAATATAGGTACAGTAAATGCACATTTATATAAAGTGTCTCTGCAAAAGTCAAATAATAACCAGGGGCTAGCTGTTCAAAAGTAATCTGATCAGTTTCGGTTATCAGATTGGATCAAATCCTGAAAATGGGTTATTCAAAAGAAAAAATAATGTATACTGAAATCAGAGTACATAATGTACTCCAAACTTGGTTGTGATCTGGAGCAAGCCTTCATTTTTTGCTGTTCAAAACTTATTAGGAATGGGATAACTCTGATTTAAAAAAAGAAAGCCAGGATTATTCTGATCACAGCAGAAAGGTGGATTCGGATTCCTTGTGTGTAACATGGCCAATAAAGGTGATTATCTGTGATTATCCTATTATGCCAGACTTGAGAGCTGCCTCCTAAAAGCTGGGATGTTTTTATTGTTTTATTATGCTGTTTTATGTTCCAATAAAAAAAACTTTGTGACCCCACACTGGCTAATTTACCTGTTGTTCTTTACACAGCTAGCTGTCTACATTGTGACAAATCAAAGTCTAGACATTAGTGGAAGCCAGGTTACAGGGCCTTTTAGCAACTGTTTAAAGCAGCAGTGATGTGTTATTTTAACAATGTATTAAAAAGTGTCTCCACACCTGTAGCCAATGCGCCTGGCAAAGTGCAGACAGGCCTCCTCCAGATGGGTCTGGAAGCTGGCCTGCTGGGCAACCCCACCACACTCAGGGCAGACGTGCGGTGCTCTGTGTTTATGAATCCTCTGGTGGGCGGACACAGCACACGAGTTAGGCAGCATCATGGGAGGCGAGCACTGTGTGCATGTCTGAAAGAAAATAAAATTCAAATTAAACAATCGGTGACCAACTGCAGAAACTAGCAGTGCAACACAATGTGCTCTCATCACAAAGACTTACAGAGTTGGGAGCAGCTCTGATCTGCTGGAAGTGTGTGACCAGCTCAGCCTTGCCAGAGAACTGTGTTTGGCACTCAGGACATTTGAAGTTGTTGTACTGCAGCCCCTCTGCCTTCTTGCAGGGCAGAGGCATCAGTGCTTGAGGGCCCTGAGGTGCACGACGGACTGGTCGAGGCTGAGATGCTGCTGCAGATGTAGCATCCTTCAGTGGGCTGGAGTTGGTGGAGATAGCAGCACCCCCAGGTGCAGTAGAAGCAGAGGAGACTGGAGGAGAGAAGGACGAAGAGGAAAGCAGGCCTGGTCAGCCAAAAAGTGGAAGTCAGAAGAAACAAATGGGACATGGTCACTGGAGATGAATCACGAATGAATGATGCATTTTTTCCCCCACAAAATAGCAAACTAACATGTTTTGTGGTTCTTTCATGACTATATAAAAAAAAAAAAATGTATGATGCACAGCTAAAACAATTAGTAAATCAACTGAAATTTTTGACAATCAATTCATTGTATTTTTAAAGCAAATATGCCAAAAGACAGATTCTTGCTCCTTATTTCTGGATATTTGCCTGTTTTTATGGTCTTCTATAATAGTAAACTGAATAGCTTTAGATTTTGAACTGATCTGCCAAAGCAATGTTGAGATGTCACTGATATATTGTGATGGATGTTTTTAACACTCTATAGATCAAACGATATGGATCGAAAAATAACTACATGATAAGATGATTAATCAAAGAATAAACGGCTTAACTAATAATTAAAATATTTATTAGCTACAGCCCTTCTTACCACCAATGGGTGTTATGTCCTGCTGTCCAATCATCTGCTCCACAGTAACAGGCCTCATGACCAGATGTGAGCACTGCATGACCAACCCACGCTCCTTGTGCTCCCTGGCGTGGAGCAGCAGGCTGCACTTATTGAAGAAGGCCAGTCTCTTAGCACAGTGGTTGCAGGTCACCTCGATGCGGAGTGATCTTCTGTCGTAGTGTCGAGCCAAGCTGCGCTCCAGGGCAAAGGCATCTCCGCACTCCAGGCAGCGATACCCTGCGGCCGGGAGCGGGAGCCCCCACTCAGGTGGCGGAGGAGCTGAGAGGTCGGGCTTGTAGCTCGGCAGGAGGTTCTTGCTATTCAGGATTTTGTTGAAAGCCTCCACCAAGCTTGACTGACTGCGGGATATGACAGCACCGGTGCTATTGACAATGGAGGCAGGTTTGTTTGGCTGGAGGGTGCCACTACCTCCGTTAGCTGTCTTATTAGTGGTTGTACGTACAGTAATTCCACCAGCAGCAACTGAGAACTTGGGAGAGGAGGCCACAACAGGAGCTACAGGTAGAGCAGCAGATTTAGTGATGCTAACGGCAGTGGCAGAAACTTTGGCCTTGTCAGATGCAGCCATTTTGTTTTGGACCTTTGTGGCAGCAGCTAGCATCACACTGCTGGCTGCAAGTGTCGACACCGGCAGAGCATTGAGAGCACTTACTTTCTGGGATGTTGTTGTCATCATGTGACCAGGGGAAACTTCAGCTTTATTGGCCTTGTTTCCTAATACCTTGCGTTCCCCGGTTTGAGCTTTAGGGTCCAAACTTTTCCCTGCAGCTCCACCTTTTGGTGCTACCCTTGTGACAGTTCTGGTGATACCCCCTGTGGAGGTTTTAATTGTTTTAATTCTGACTTTGAGGGGTCGGGATGGAGCTCCAGAAGCAGCAGGTGCAGCAATACCTGCTTCCCCTCCATCAGTGGACAGGGGTTTAGGCTTGTCATCATCCACCTCCATCTTTTCCTCACCCATTCTTGCATTTTCTCCCTCATCGATTTTGCCATCAATAACCCTGTCTATCCCGTTCCCCACTTCCATCTCCTCCTCCTCCTCTTTTGGTTCCCGCAGTTCAGAAGGTGGTGGTGGTGTAGAGGCAACTGCAGGGCTGGAGCACCTCTTAGTTATGACCTGAGCAGTTGATTTTGGTAGCTCTGGTTCAGGACTCTCTGGTGAGTCTCTCTCTTCTATGACATGTTCTGAGTGCCTGTCCTCCCGCTGGGGACTCTCTGTTGAGCCAGACTGAGGCGTCGATGAAGTCAGAGTTATCCCCGAAGGAGTGTCCCCAGGTTTAGGGTGAGATGCAGCAGACGATATTGCTGGGGCTGAGACAGAATCAGATTTGTAATGTCGGCTCAGTTGAGTGCAAGTCGGAGAGTCTGGATTCTCCTGGATCACCAACGGACTCCCCAAATCAGGGTCGGAATCATCCTCCTCCATCTGCTGGTGCTGTAATCCAGCAGGGCCACCTTTGGGGGCTCCGTTAAAAGGCTGAGATGAGTGCAGGGGGTGCGATGAGAGGGCAGAGGGTGGGGTTGGAAGCAGAGGCTTGGAAGGAGGAAAGAAAGGTGAGGCTAGTCCAATGGGCCCACCTGTAGCCAGAGGAGTTGAACCCCCTGATAGAGAGGACGATGAAGGTAATGATGCTTTCATTCCATCTGCCCTCTCTTGGCCTGTATCCTGCTGCTGCTGGTGTTGTTGCTGTAGAAGCTGCATCTTCCTGGCCCGGCCCACTGGATCGCCAGACCCCTGTGCCACAATTGGTTTAAGTCTGTTGAAAATGTTGCTGCCCTGCTTATGAGACTTTGCTGCACCTGCTGCTTCTGAA